TATCACTAACTGTCAAGTAAAAGAATTAAAAGAGAGGAAGGGAGGCGGACGTGGTGGTAACGCCTGTAATCCTAGCTCTCTGGGAGGCCGAGGCGGGCGGATTGCTCAAGGTCAGGAGTTCAAACCAGCCTGAGCAAGAGTGAGACCCCGGTCTCTACTATAAAATAGAAAGAAATTAATTGGCAACTGATATGTATAAAAAATCAGCCGGCATGGTGGCGCATGCCTGTAGTCCAGCTACTCGGGAGCTGAGCAGATAGGATCGCTCGAGCCAGGAGTTTGAGGTTTGCTGTGAGCTAGCCTGACGCACGGCACTTACTCTAGCCTGGGCAACAAAGCGAGACTCTGTCTCAAAAAAAAAAAAAAAAAGGTGAGAAGGGAAGAAAATACGAATGTGTTATTTAAATATGCACAAAACATCTATCTACTAGAAGGTGGTAGAACTGGGAGGCTTGGCAACAGGGCTGGGGGAACAATTTCACTTTATGCTCTTTGTATCTTCTGAATTTTTAAATTACATGACTGATCTAATCAGAATTAGTGGACATAATTCAATTTTTTTTTAAGTTGAAGAAGAGTATTTGCAGTATTGTCAAGCACCTGGCCCTCGAAATGTGGGAACGCTCCCTGTTTTTGAACAGGGTGGGAGGAAAGGGCTAGCGGCCAGCTGTCACTCACTGCAGTCATGAACCGAAGCCATAGCATGCCTCTCGTGAGATGAAAGAGATACTGAGGACAGAAGGAAATAAAATCAGTCTTGAGTCACATATGTATCATGGGTATTTATAAAAGACTTAGACAGCTCCTTCCTAAATTTGAATTCATGTCAAGAGAGAATCATTTCAGGAAGTGTGAGTTCTCTCTTCAAACCTTTGGACAAATCTCTCCCATACAAAATAAAATCCCCTCCCTCATGGAGCTTCCATTCTACTGGCAGGAGTGGGAAAGAAAATAAACAAACCATGTATTCATATAGCATGCTATCACTAATGTAAAGTAAAAGAATAAAAAGAGAAGGGAAGAAAATACGAATGTGTTATTTTAAATATGCACAAAACATCTATCTACTAGAAGGTGGTAGAACTGGGAGGCTGGGCAACAGGGCTGGGGGAACAAATTTCACTTTATGCTCTTTGTATCTTCTGAATTTTTAAATTACATGACTGATCTAATCCAGAATTAGTGGACATAATTACAATTTTTTTTTAAGTTGGAAGAAGTATTTGGCAGTATTGTCAAGCACCTGGCCCCTCGAAATGTGGGAAACGCCTCCCTGTTTTTGAATCAGGGTGGGAGGAAAGGGCTAGCGGCCAGCTGTCACTCACTGCAGTCATGAACCGAAGCCATAGCATGCCTCTCGTGAGATGAAAGAGATACTGAGGACAGAAGGAAATAAAATCAGTCTTGAGTCACATATGTATCATGGGTATTTATAAAAGACTTAGACAGCTCCTTCCTAAATTTGAATTCATGTCAAGAGAGAATCATTTCAGGAAGTGTGAGTTCCTCTCTTCAAACCATTTGGACAATCCCATTCTGGTATGAATCACAGAGGGCCACGCTCATTTATAGGGAACATCTGTGTGGGGGGAAGTGGCGGATACAGGGCATAATAAAGAGACCACCTGAAACTGAACTTGGACACCCCTTGTCTTTTTTCTCAACTTCCCTTGAGTTGTTTGTTTGGTCATATGGGAGGAAAGGTCTATGAAACCTTTACGGTTTGAGTTTATGCATATAACATGTAAAAGTGGCGAACAGAAGAGGAGCCTGACTGAAATCTGCACTCTTTGTCAATGTTTGTGTTCTAGATGTTTCCCAGAGTTGTTGGATGATGGCTCTATGACTACTGTCTACTTGTGACCTCTAGTCAACCAAAATGGAAAAAAAAAAGTTTGGCTTTGAGAACAAGTTTATAATTCATTTGTCTTATTTCACAGTAAGTTACTCCCCTTTAAAATCGTATCATTATTTTTTATATTTTGTTAACTTTTAATTACTGGTTAATGTAGGAATACATTCTTTTTTGAAAAAATTAAAATGTTGCAGATAAAGTTTTCATTCTATTTAATCACTTCCCCACAATGCCAGTTCCTTTCTCCCTTCCCCAAAGAAAATCACTTCTAGGAATTTTAAAACTATCTTCATGGATTTTTCATTATACTTTTGCATACACATATAAATGTACTCATAGAGACCATATAGTATTTTTACATGCATGTGGTTTTTTGTTTGTTTTTTTGAAATAGGGTCATACTCTGTTGCCCAAGCTAGAATGCAGTGGTGTCATCACAACTTATTATAACCTCAAAACTCCTGGGCTTAAGTAATCCTTTTGCCTCAGCCTCTTGAGTAGCTGAGACTACAAGCATGTGCCACCATGCCCAGCTAATTTTTCTCTTTTTTGTAGAGATGAGGTCTTACTCTCGCTCAGGCTGGTCTCAAACTCCTGGCCTCAAGCAATCCCCCAGCCTCAGCCTCCCAAAGTATTAGGATGACAGACGTGAGCCACTGCACCCGGCCATGTGTTTTAAATAACCTAATTATACTGTATGTATTATTCTGCAGTTTGAGTCTTTTCACTCAATAATATTGAACACTTTCTGTTCTAGATATTCTAGATATTCATTCTTTTAAACTTTTAGATAATATTCCATTATGTTCGGTTATCAATGTGTCAGTAAACATTCTTGTACAGTTCTCATTATACACATGTACAAGTACCTTGTAATCAATAAAAACTGGGTTATGCAAATAAAAAGCCAATATACCATCCTAGAATGGAGTTTAGGGACAATGAAACCCTAAACTTATAAAAGGTGTCATTATTGTGGGCATGTTGCATCTCTGTAGATTATTATTATGTGGCCTGAAACTGGGGACTGAGGAAGAAGTGACTAAAGATGTCTCTTGGCTAGGGAAAAAGAGAGCTGTAAAATACCCTGTGGGAGGCAAGGTTGAGATACTCTAAGACTGTGCTATCTAACACAGTAGCCACTAGCTGTGTGTGTGGTTATTGAATTTTAAACTTAAATTTATTAAAATTAAACATTCAGTTCCTCAATCACAGCAGCCACATTTCAAGTGTTCAGTAACCACATATAATTAGTGGCTACCATATTGAATGCAAATATAGAACATTTCCATCATTAAAGAAAGTTCCGTGGGACAGCACCATTCTAGAAATTATTTTACACGGTCTTACCTAGCCGTCAGTTTAAAAAGATGGACGCAGTGGAACATGCTGAGGTAGAAGGATCCTTGAGGCCAGGAGTTTGAGGCCAGCCTGGGCAACATAGCAAGACCCCATCTCTAAAAAAAAAATGTTTAAAAAAAATTTTTTTTTTTTTTAGACGATCTTCACTTTTCCAGGCTAGAGTGAGTGCCATGGCATTAGCCTACCTCACAGCAACCTCAATCTCCTGGGCTCAAGCAATCCTACTGCCTCAGCCTCCTAAGTAGCTGGGACTACAGGCATGCGCCACCATGCCCGGCTAATTTTGGTATATGTATTTTTAGTTGGTCAATTAGTTTCTTTCTATTTTTAGTAGAGACGGGGTCTCACTCAGGCTGGTCTCGAACTCCTGACCTTGAGCAATCCACCCGCCTCGGCCTCCCAGAGTGCTAGGATTACAGGCGTGAGCCACTGTGCCCGGCCAAAAAAGTTTTTTTATGCTGCTAAATTTGGCTTTAAAAAATGAAAAAAGTAAAATAAAAGAATTTTTTTATTTCCTGAAATGTATTTATTTCCTTTATTCCTAAGCCTTCAACAAAGTTTTAAAATAATAGTACCAGGCTGCGGCCGGGCGTGGTGGCTCACTCCTGTAATCCTATCTGTCTGGGAGGCCGAGGAGGGAGAATCGCTCAAAGTCAGGAGTTCCAAATCAGCCTGAGCAAGAGCAAGACCCCATCTCCACTAAAATTAGAAAGAAATTAATTGACCAACTAAAAATATATAGAAAACATTAGCCGGGCATGGTGGTGCATGCCTGTAGTCCCAGCTACTCGGGAGGCTGAGGCAGGAGAATTACCTGAGCCCAGGTGTTTGAGGTTGCTGTGAGCTAGGCTGACGCCACGGCACTCTACCTGGCAACAAAGTGAGACTCTGTCTCTAAAATAAAATAAAATAAAAATACCAGCTAACATTTATTGAACTCATGTGTTGGGCAGTTTTCTTGGTTGCAGACAACAGATTTCACTCTTGCCAATTAAAGCACCAAAGGATTTATTGAGGGATCTAGATAGCTCACAGAATCATTAGGAAAGTTGAAGAAATGGACTCAGGCTAAACATCCAGGAATGACTTTTAAAATTACACTACAGAATTGGGCTGACAAGCAAGACACAGCCTCTGCCACCAGCAGACGCTTCAGAATTGCTAAGCTGCCACCACCAGCTGCTGGCTCCAGAATCACGTTGCATCTGCCCTGACTAGCACCAGCAAAATGGATGCTTCACACTCTGCCTCTCCCTCCGTACAACTCATATTTAGAAAGTCTCACACAGTGGAACTTAAATCACAAGCAAAACCCCAGCTGCAAGAAGGTTCGAGAAATGTGGCATTTAGCTTCCCATCCTGGTGCAGTCCAGGAAGCAAGCTAGAGAGGGGCTGGAATGGGTTTTGAGTGAGCCAGTCTAAAACATGTGCCACAACCCGCCAGGCGCCAAGTCCTGAAAACGTGCCTCATCTTATGCTTAAAGGGACTAGAATTCCCTCCATTTGACAGATGAGGACGCAACAGTAAATGGACGGGGGACACAGTATGGTCTTAGCTGGGCATTGCGGAGTTAAAAGGGGGCCCTTCGTCCACCTCTTTTTTTTTTTTTTTTTTTTTTTGAGACCAGACAGAGCTCACTCTTTGTTGCCGCTGGCTAGAGTGCCCCTGGTGTCACCTAGCTCACAGCAACCTAAACTCTTGGCTCAGTGATCGTCCTGCCTCAGCCCCCTAGTGGCTGGAACTACAGGCATGCCCACCATGCCGGCCTAATTTTTTTCTACATATTTTTTAGTTGGTCAATAATTTCTTTCTATTTTAATAGAGACGGGGGTCTCGCTCTTGCTCAGGCTGGTCTCGAACTCCTGAGCTCCAAATGATCTGCCCTCCTCGGCCTCCCAGAGTGCTAGGATTACAGTACAGGCATGAGCCACCGCGCCGCCCTTCGTCCACTCCTAGAAGTAACTAAAGAGAGGGAAAGAGAAGCTGGGCTGGAAGACAACAGCCCACGAGGAGAAAGCACGGGTCCCAAGGGACAAAGGACAGCCAGACTGAATTTGAGAGCTCTTGAGCAGTGTTGCTGCGGACATTCATGCCAGACCCAATCTGGAGTACCTACTCTGTCCACAAAACCATGCTGCCCCCTATGGGAAGAACCAGAACGTACACACGCACAGCAAAGACTTAAGGACACAGCCCTGGTTAGATTCCCACAACCCCATCTTCATCGCACACAGCGCGAAAGCAAAAATACTCAGCAGGGGAGGCTTCCAGAAGGAGGTGAGTTTTCAGTTGATTTTAGAACGGAGGCAAAGTGTTAGCTTGTGCTTGGCTGTGAGAAGGCAGGGGATTTCAGATGAGGAATTCACGAGCCCTGGTGCCAAGGCTCAGAAGCTGAAAGGGGCAGCCAGTGTAGCAAATCAAAGCAATGTCCTTGACCGAGGATCAAGGAGGTGAGTCAGAGTTTGGGAGAAAACAATAAATAAACTGGTGGGGAAGGGAATTGGTTGCAGGGTAAGATCATCTGAAAGCCTTCCTGTGATTATGGTTTTATGAAAATATTAGTAAAGTAGGTATTGAAGTTCGATTTGGAACGGAATGAAAATCTCAGAGAACAGGCCCTGGGAATTTTCTAGCAAATGGGTTGCCTGTCTTGATTTCCCCATCTCAGCTCTCCTGCCCTGGGACCGAACCTAGGTTTCTGGTGCACAAGGGCTCATGCCCCTTTGCAGCATCATTCTTTCCTGGACACATTCTAGTAAGATCAAAAGACAAAGAATAGGCCGGGCGCCGTGGCTCACGCCTGTAATCCTAGCACTCTGGGAGGCCGAGGCAGGCGGATTGCTTGAGGTCAGGAGTTCAAAACTAGCCTAAGCAAGAGCGAGACCCCATCTCTACTAAAAATAGAAAGAAATTAAGTGGTCAAGTAATATATACAGAAAATATTAGCCAGGCATGGTGGCACATACCTGTAGTCCCAGCTACGGGGAGGCTGAGGCAGGAGGATTGCTTGAGCCCAGGAGTTTGAGGTTGCTGTGAGCTAGGCTGACGCCACAGCACTCACTCTAGCCTGGGCAACAAAGCGAGACCCTGTCTCAAAAAAAAAAAGACGAAGAATAAATCTCAAGGAAATGGGTCTCTTCATGCTGGGAGATTCAGAATAATTTGAGAAAGGGTTGTCTACACCCAGAAATGTGGCTGTATACATGATTCTTATTTTGCTTAAGCTTTATTAAACAATATTAATTAATATTTTAACAACTCTTTCCATCTGCCAGATCCTATATTGAGCAATTTATTTTGTTTTTGTCTCTCTCTCTCTTTTTTTTTTTTTTTGAGACAGAGTCTCACTCTGTGGCCTGGGTTACAGTGCCATGGCGTCAGCCTGGCTCACAGCAACCTCAAACTCCTGAGCTCAGGCGATCCTCCTGCCTCAGCCTCCCAAGTGGCTGGGACTACAGGCATGCACCACACCACGCTTGGCTAATTTTTTCTATTTTTTAGTAGAAACGGGGTCTCGCTCTTGCTCAGGCTGGTCTCGAACTCCTGAGCTCAAATGATCTGCCCACCTTGGCCTCCAAGAGTGCTAGGATTACAGGCATGAGCCATTGCACCTGGCTAGAGCAATTTAATAATGTAGTATATCATTTAATACTCACAGCAGTTACCTGTATTAGAGGTTATTCGTGTCCTCATTTTACAGATGAGGAAACTGAGGCTAAGGGGTCCTGAAGCTAAGAACTGAAGACTCCATGACCCATGGATTAAACCATCCTACTGTGCTGCCCTGGTTTAGTCACCCTTATTGGTGTTTCCTTATTATCTTTCACATGTTGTATTTACTTGCTGGCTCCTCATTCCCTCAAAAACTAGAAGTTTCTGGGCCAGGCATGGTGACTCATGCCTGTAATCACAGCACTTTGGGAGGCCAAGGCAGGAGGATCACCTGAGGCCAGGAGTTTGAGACCAACCTGGGCAATATAGCAAGACCCCATTTCTAAAAAAAAAAAAAAAATTAGCTGCACATGGTGACACAAGACTGCAGTCCCAGCTACTCTGGAGGCTGAGGCAGGAGGATGATGTCAATCCAGGAGTTTGAGGCTGCAGTGAGCTATGATCACACCACTGCACTGCAGTCTGGGCAACAGAGCCAGACCCTGTCTCTAGAGAAAATTTTTTAAAAAACCTAAAAGTTTCTTAAGTATACAATCAAGTCCCATTCATCCTTTGACACTCTTACCCCCAGCAACTGACAGAGACTAGCACATAGTGAGTGCTTAATATATGCGAGCCAGAAGGTGCTTTGTAACTCCATAACCATTCATTCATTTTATGTACTTACACTCAATTACTTTTGCAGATACTCACAGCTTCAGTAAAACACGTGGATGAAGTGAGTCCTCCCCTTTCCTATAGTGCCATGGTCAAGTGTGAGGGTCTTGGAGCCAGTCACAGGTTTGAATCCCACCTCAGCTACTTATTGGCAGTATTACCTTGGGCAACTGTTAAAAGAAAAAAAAATAAGTCTTACAATTTATAAAAGGTCATTTGTAAAAAAAAAAAAAAAAAGCATTGCTGTTGGGGCATGAAAAACAGCTGGGGAAGTTTATGATTCCAATGCTTAAAAATATATATATATTTTATAAAAGTGGTAGGTGAGTAGATTCTCAGAGGAGCTCAGCTTCTTGCTAGAGTAGCCAGAGCCCTCTGACCTTCTGAAGGCCCCTCCTACTGAGAAAGACAGAGCAGCAAGAACAGAGACTTGTTGTGGTTAAATGTTAACTTGGGTTTATTTCTCTACAACTGCCTGTTGTTTAATTTGGCCAGCCCAGTGAAGATTCTTTCCTAAGCCCGTGTGTAATTTCTAAACGCCAGACCTATGACCTTTACACACATGCTAAACATTTATAGAGTGGGAGAATTCTTTTTCTCCATCAGTGAGTTAAATAAATGCCAACATCCTCGCTCCCCCTCCCTGCAAAAAAGTATTCTTTGATCTACACTAAAGATAAACTGGTAATAATTCATCAGCTAAGGGTTATAAAGCAGATTCTTTGATAAGCCAGTTAGTTAATTTCAGAGGGCAGTGGGGCTTGTTTCTTCCCGATGCTGATTTTGATTCCTAAGGCCTTAGCATTTTAGAGATGGAAAGAGAAATTCAGGGGATTTATGTGATGAGATAAACCCTCTGAATTCAGTGGAGGAGAAAACTGTGAGCTCCAGAGAGGGAAGAGGCAATTTAAACTCCTGGATAGATGTTAATAAAGTGGCATACAAAAATGTTTTGTTACAATTCCTACAGCATTTGAAGCTTTCCGTGGTGGTTGTATTTTGTTTCCTTTATGATCTGGTGATCCAAGGACAGTATCTGGGCTTGGAAATGGAAACCTGTGGACACTAATCCCCAGCTTTGTGCTGACGTCAGAGACATTTGAGAATCACTGCTGCCCCCTGGTGGAAATTTAAAAATCTCACAGGCACTCAAGGTTATAAGGAATTTTTGCAATGGTTTAAAAAATTATAAAGTATTTCCTCAGGTTAAAAATTTTATTTTATTTTTATTTTTTATTTTATTTTTTTTGAGACAGAGTCTCACTTTGTTGCCCAGGCTAGAGTGAGTGCCATGGCATCAGCCTAGCTCACAGCAACCTCAATCTCCTGGGCTCAAGCAATCCTACTGCCTCAGCCTCCCGAGTAGCTGGGACTACAGGCATGTGCCACCATGCCCGGCTAATTTTTTCTATATATATTTTTAGTTGATCAATTAATATTTTCTATTTTTGATAGAGACGGGGTCTTGCTCAGGCTGGTTTCGAACTCCTGACCTCGACCAAATCTGCCCTCCTCGGCCTCCCAGAGTGCTAGGATTACAGGCGTGAGCCGCCACGCCCGGCCGGTTAAAAATTTTAAACAGCATAAAAGGCTATAAAGAGAAAAGCAAAATCTTCCTTCTCTCAATTCTACTCTCCAGTGATAACTGTTTTAATTTTGTAAACATTCTTTCACAATTTTTTCTATTAATGTATACATGTTATATATACATATATTCATAGAAATATAATTTTTATCCACAAATAGGACAATACTGCACACACTGTTTTGTAACTTGTTTTTCTCTTTTTCTTATTTTATTTATTTGGATAAGTAAGACATTCAAAAGATTCCTAAGTTTAAAAAAATAGTGTCTTAACATGTTTTCAAAGTAAGTATATATTGACAAATTTCATTCCTTTTGATGAAGGCATAATATTCCAGTGCTTGGGTGTATCATATATTATTCATTCAGTCCTCCTTTGATGGACTAGACAGTAAGTCTCTATAATAGAGTAGGGCTTTATTATGGGTATTTTGTTGTTGTAACTGCTGTCTCCAGTAATGGCATAATGTTCAATAAAAGTGTGTCTAATGAATGAACAGACATTTGCCTAGTTTCAAGTTATTTCTCCCATTTCAAAAATACTGCCCTGAATACCCCTGTGCCTATATTTTTGGCATAGGATAAAGTCTAGGAGGAAACACAGTTTCAAAAGTCACGTGAATTTCAAGTTTGATAGATACTGTCAAATAGGTGCTTTTGATGGAGGAGTGAATCCAGATGTTTAGTAATTCTATCATTCCATACCTTATGGGACCAAAACCAGAACCTGCCAGATAGTTGAATTTAAAATAACTCCTGGGCGCGGCAAGGTGGCTCACGCCTGTAATCCTAGCTCTCTGGGAGGCCGAGGTGGCGGATCGTTCGAGGTCAGGAGTTCGAAAACCAGCCTGAGCAAGAGCGAGACCCGTCTCTACTATAAATAGAAAGAAATTAATTGGCCAACTAATGTATATAGAAAAAATTAGCCGGGCATGGTGGCGCATGCCTGTAGTCCCAGCTATTCGGGAGGCTGAGGCGGGAGGATCACTTGAGCCTAGGAGTTTGAGGTTGCTGTGAGCTAGGCTGACGCCACAGCACTCTAGCCTGGGCAACAGAGTGAGACCCCGTCTCAAAAAAATTTAAAAAATAAAAATAAAATAACTCCTGTTGGGCTTGGTGTGATGGTTCATACCTGTAATCCCAGCACTCTGAGAGGCTGAAGTGAGAGGATTACTTGAGCTCAGAGTTCCAGACCAGCAAGAGACCCCGTCCTCTATAAACTTGAAAAATTAGCATTGCATTGTGGAGTGTGCCAATAGCCCAAACTACTTGGGAGACTGAGGCAAGAGGATCACTTGAACCCGAGAGTTTAAGGCTGCAGGGAGCTATGACGATTGCCAGCATGGTATGCCACACCCAGGTTGAAAACAGATGTGTTTTTTGGAGACAGAGTCTCACTCTGTTGCCCGGGCTAGAGTGCCATGGTGTCAACCTAGCTCACAGCAACCTCAAACTCCTGGGCTCAAGCAATACTTCTGGCTCAGTCTCCCAAGGAGCTGGGACTACAGGCATGTGCCACCATGCCCGGCTAATTTTTTTCCATATATTTTATTGGCCAATTAATTTTCTTTCTATTTTTAGTAGAGACGGGGTCTTGCTCTTGCTCAGGCTGGTTTCCAACTCCTGACCTTGAGCAATCCACCCGCCTTGGCCTCCCAGAATGCTAGGATTACAGGCATGGGCCACTGTGCCTGGCCAAATAAGAGATATTTTTAATAAATTGTGCCAGAATAGCTGAATACTTATACAGGAAAAAAATGAAATTGAACTCTACTTTATACCATGCAAAAATGTCAAATTCAGGTGGATAACAGAATTAAATGTGAAAGGTAAATATCTACAGCTTTTTAGAAGATAATATAAGAAAATATCTTCACAAATTCTGACTAGGAAAAGATTTATTAAATAAGCCACTAATGTCATTCCCAATCAAAGAAAACATAGTTC